ATTCCAACCAGCACGAGGCTCGGAAAGTGGTTATTGGAGAAAACACAATTTACTTGATATAAGTTTATTAATAAGTGATAGTAAGATGTTTATTGAATGGTTGTGATTCTGAGTGGTTGGTGTTGTTTCTTAGTACTTCCACGGGTCTGATGCCATCCACGGGTCTGATGGAAAAACCCATGGAAGCGCCAGTTGCATTTTGCACCCAAAGCCCGGAGCCACCCACCCAGAGCCCGAAACCACAGACGGTTGACCGGTCTAGTCTCAATTCTATGAGGTAAGGTGGTCAAGTGGTCAACCCGGACCTCACACATCCCCACACTTAATATAACCCAGACACTCCATGGGACTGCCATATATGCCTACATTGACCCCCAAAACCACCCCAATGTAGGCATATATGGCAGTCCCATGGAGTGTCTGGGTAATGCAATAGTATTGCAGCTTTACATGGCAAGCATGCTAGCAAGCATGCCAAGAAGTTGGACCCTCGTTCATGCCGCCAGGCCCCACATCGCATGAGCATGACATGAAAGAGAAGCTGCTTTTTCTCCTAGGCAATACTCTCAGGTTGAGTCTGAGATGACCCTGGATGTTTCTCAACAGGGTGTTATTCTTGCCCCGTGGCCTACATGATCTCTGCCAAGAAGGCGTTGGAAACAACATAGTGCCCATATATTGCAGGTCGGCACAAACTCTTCGGGTGGGTCCCCAATCGATTCCAAGTCAACCATCTGAACGAATGGATGGGTATCATTCTGATTCCTGTACACGTATCATGGCCCCTGAAGTGGCCAGGTTCTCATCCCCTTTCTGGAGGTGGCCCTCAAGGCCTCTGCCGGCTCCTGGGCTCCTAGAGATTGTCATCAAGTAAATGGAATCCAGAATCTTCATCATTGAGTCAATGCCTCAGATTCTTCCATCCACCGACCATTCGGATTGTCCGATTTCCTCCTTTGTCCTCGATCCTTCCTGAGTGCCAAAGACCCCTGAACTGAGCCACCAGGCCAATCAGGCCCCAACACAATGAGGTCAATGAAGAACCACGTCCTCAAGGAGCGTTGAGGTGTGTCATAGCATTCTGAGCATGATCACTAGCATGATCTTTGTTCAAGGAAAACAAGCCAACTGCGGTTCTTCGTCAACCAGTCTCTATGATGTCTTTTAAACAGAAATCATCACCTTTCTTGGGGCTGTGCCACACTGAATCATGCTTTTGGGAGGGTTCCCCCATTCATAAATTGAAGAGATCACAAAAACACACAATATAAGATGTATAGATATTATGCTCTGTTCTACCGTCTGACTGATTCCAAGAAGGACTATCCATGCAATTGTTGGAGCCAAACGCATCTTAAAGACTAGAACAATGGCAATGGTTGGATGATTTCTCATCATGATCTCATTAGCTTTACACAATTCATCGAACATCAGTGAAGCACCTTCATGGCAAAAAAGAACACCGAGGTTAAGACACTAGCGAGGCGAGACATCTCAGCAACCCCTTCGAAAAAGAAGATCCAGAAATCGAGCCAGTCCTCAAATATCTGCAAATGATGCGCTTCTGGTTCATCACCAACTCCTGGCGTTGCCGCCCTTTTTTGTGTCCGCAAACAGGCACCTTGAAACTGGAACCTCCTAGAACCGCTGTAAAGCCCTGCACTGTTGTCAGTCAAGTGGTCTTCCGCTTCTAAGCCGTTGCGTTGCGAAAAGAAACGTCTGGCAACCACTTACTCAGATCCAATTGTCCCGTGCAAAGACGGATTGTCCAACTGATGTTCAAACTTTCTCGGTGGAAGAACCGCAAGCAGTTCGGTGCTTGATGCAAGCAGTTAAGATTCTGACTGACATGCAGGTGAGCTTCTCATGTTTTCCAGCGATCATGAAGGGTTGGGGCACAATCAGTATGTGAGGAACAATCACTTGAGAAGCCGCATGGATCGAGCTCGCATGTGCTCGAACAGACTGTCGCACGCGCATGTCGCAGGTCGAAGACACCCCTTCTTCATAGAAGCCCACCAGATTGCCTGCGACGGCGTCGACGGAACCTTCTTGGGCTTGTTCTATCTGAAGAGTTGGGGGAGAAACATTGCGACACCCTGCAAATGTAGTTACAATGTAGTTTAATTGATTCTCACATGACTGTGTCTTACTTTTCATTGACCATTCACTGTGGGGGGAGCAGATCAACTACTAAATCGAGGTACTGAAGGTCCGAGGATGCGGGACCCAGCAACCTGGTTCTCAAATCTTTGTTCAGTACCGCAGGCTATGATTACTTGGACCAACCAAAGCTCCAGCGCTTGTGACTGGTGCAACAATGCCGGCAAAAACCGCACAAAATCTAGATGGGTGGCTTGTCCAACTGGCACCAACGGCTTTTGCCGCAGTGGCATTCTGCTACAGCTTCAACAAAATGAGTATGCAAACCCTCTTTAGCAGCTCCTGCTTCTGCGACAGCTTGAAACAACCCTATCTTGCCATTCCAACCCCTTTTGACAGGCTCCCTTCACCTCCGCCTTTCACTGCGCCAAAACCCACCCACCACGTCCGATGTCTCGCGTCCCTCTCTCTATACGGGCTTCCCGACTCATGAGGACGTCGCAGGTCCAGTAGAGCAGCACGATCCAGCCCATGACCATCGTGAACTCAGCTCCATCGACTTGGGTCGACTCTCGGGTCGCGACTGGTTGCGTCGACTGGTTGGGTCGACGAGTGGGTTTGGAGGGCTCTCCGGCCACGACTGGCAGCCCTTCACCAACACAGCCGTAGACACGCACATGGCGATGGTTGGTCGGGACGATGGGCCGGGGGGGCCGGGTGGTACAAAGCGAAGCATACGTTGTCTTGCTTTTGGTCTTGAACCAGGAGTTCCATGTCCGGTGCGATCGATGGAGGGTAGGGGTGAACAGGGCTGCATCCACTGATGGACTTTCCACACCACCCAGGCCCTCCATGTAACTCCCAGGGACTACCCAAACCAATTAAATGCTTAACATCTTTAGAATATAGCCCTACAGGTCCAGTCTGACCCTGGCCCAGTTCTCCAGAGTCGTGTTTTGAAAACGACCCAGCTTCAGTAGCAGCTCTGCTCCTGACCTGTAGGGGATGGTTTCTCGGATTGCTTCGTGGATGCCTCCAAGCTACTAGCAGCTAGCTCATTGGAGTTCATTGAGTTTCATGGATCTCCCCCAGTCTGACGCCACATGCCATTGATGAAGCACCGAGAAGACCGATCCAGCATGACTGGTGTTGGAACCGACGAGTTCCCGCGCGCGCTCTGTGCGCGGGTGAGCGACACATCCCAGACGCGACCCGTCTGGGACTGCCAGTCCGGACTGCCGATCAGTTGGGCTGGTTTGGGGGTCGATGGGGCGGCATATCTTCCAGTCCCATGGAGTGTATGGGCATGGGAAACAAGATATGGATCCCGAGGTGTGGCAGTGGATCCCTAGGGCTGGCAGCTCAAAGAGAGCTCAACGAGCTGGGCTAGTTCTTCAGGATGCCACCCTTGAAATCCATGCGAAGTCTCTTGGGGCACTTGGAAAATCCCATGAAATCCACCTATAGACCTTCTTTCGGGGTGTCCTGGCTGGAGGTCCCGGATGGTAGTGGGCTGGGGCTTCCAGCCAAGTGACCCCGAACTGAAGGTGCTGGCATGTGTTTAGAACTTGCAAGCATTGAAATCGCTTGGATCTTCGCCAAGTCCGGAATTCTCACCCCTCGCGAGGGAAGCGAGTGTCTTCTTCACGGCTTCACTCACCGCTTTCAGCTGGCTCTGATCCCTGATCCCTGGAGTTGTTGAAGTGCTTGGGATGCGCAAAAACAAGGTCTAACCCTGGCAACGGGGTGGGTGAACTTGCTGTAGCTCCTTAGCTCCCGCCTGAGCACCAGATAGAACCTGCTGAGACTGCGATAAATTAAATGCAAAAAAAACGCGCGTCTTTTTCCCTCAGCAGTGTGCCTTGGATGTTGCTCTTGCACTCAGCGAAGGAACAGCAGCCAAAGAAAGTTGCAAAAAATACGCTTGAGATTTGGAAACGAGTGTTGAACGACCAAGGAGAGTCTCGAAAATACATGGACGTGACATCATATTGGATGTGAATCCTAGTGCATCTCCGTTCCTGTCTTTACACCTGGAACGATCTACAAGTCTGCCGATGCACCATGTCTGAAGACTGGGCCCGTGTCAAAAAGGAGGCCTCGAGCCTACGAAAAGAGACGGGAAAAGGAGGCCTCTTCGCATGCCGAAAATCAGAAGACGACGGACGGTCTGCCGTTCATCTCACCATGTACAGTTTTGCACCCATCGGTCACAGCTCTGCATGACTCTATGGTTTTCCCAAATATGAAGTGGAAATCACTAGGAGCTTCGTCATCTTGGTGTGGCTGACCCACTCAAAGACCACTGCTGCATTGGGGTGCATGGCATGTGAAGCTCTCCAATGGTCTCATCTAATTTGGTGAAATCGCCGTGTGGAACGGTCATTCTGAAGGCCATTGTTGATACAGACATCGGCCAGAAACGGATGTATTCACCAGTCACCCAGTGGGGTAGATGAAGTACGATCAAATCAGGCGTCATGGGTATGTCTAGCGGAGTTTAGCTATCATCAATCACTTATATATATCAAATTAATCATACCAGGACCCTCTAAGGGGTACCCAATGGAAGCCTATAGGTAGTGTGGAGTAGTCCAGCCAGGACACCCCGACAGGAGGGTCCTGGTATAATTTATATAATCAGATCACCAAATCACTTATCACCAGAGGTTGGACAGTTCGATCATCAAATCACTTCTCGACGCCAGAGGACAGATGTGATGGGACCGCGATCGGACTGCCGCGTGTGACGCTTCAACGAAGCCAAATGCTTTGCGCTGACTCGGGATGAAAGGAGGTGAAACAAACCAACAAAAACCTTTAGGATCTAAGGATGGCGTGCCATTCTGATCCTTCTCTATAATGTCTATATTGCAAGAACCATCCAACAAACCTATGTCCGGTCTTAACACCAAACCGCCGGGGCTCGAGTTTCTCCAAGCGACCTAGTCGTTGTCATGACCATTCCAAGGGACGCCGCACAAACTCGCGTCAACGAGCCCAAAAAACGACATGCGCAGCAAAATTCCGTCACTACGGATCTTCTCAGTCGGCCCCTTGCCTGCTGCCTGCAGATCGGGCAAAATGCAGATCGGCGTGTTTGGGTGGCCAAACGAAGGTCTTCCGTTTGGGCGACATGGCAAAAAGGCTGCCGAAGGAAGGGAGTCCCAGTCGATTTGTCGGATGTGCATCGGTTCAAGATGTAAATGCATGTGTCGGATGTGGTTGGTTGATCTTATTTTTGAATATTTTTGACATGTCCCAACTGATCCAAGTAGCAAGGTCTTGGATTCAACAAGCCTTCAAACGTGACCATGGATACTAATGGGAATCCAAATCATCCATGTTAGAAGCGAAACCAGGGGCATGAGGGAAGCGAAGGACGCTGCCCGCACGAAACCAGACCAAGCACGACGTGGCGTTGATCAATAGATACCTGAGGATTGACTCAGAATTGATGAATAGAGCATCTCCAGAGGTTGAAGGACCTATAGACTAGTCCCAGTTGGGTACTCCAGGTGACGAGTCTTCTAAGGTCATTGAACCTCTCTTGGCTGATCAGGTTCCAAGACAAATGTCCTAAGATCCCATGCTCCAAGCACTGCGAAGATGCGAAGGAGCACATCAAAACGGACGGTTGACCAGGACCTTCATCTGGGCGACGAACCTCGGAATTCGTCCAAGAAGACCTGGAATCATCCCGCCCAACACGTACTGACTTGGAATGACTTGGAGAAACCTCATCTCCAATTCAAGGACATATGCCATCCGGCTTTCAGTGCTTTTCAGCAGGGTCACTCATGTTCATGTTGGTCCAAGTAAAAGCTATACACCATGGAAGAGACGTGATGAGACACCCTGGAAGAGAGACTTGCCACTGGTTTATCATTCAGAAACCATGTTAACGCAACTGACATCAAGACGATGCCCATGCCCGCATTTGTATACGGAAGAAACTGTTGAATTTGAATGGATCAAATCCACAACCCGCAGGAACACAACTGACAAACCCACACAAACCCACTTCAGCACACGTGCGTCCTTTCAGCGCTGCTCAACGATCGCTTCAACCTGCCCGATGAATGGCTGCTGCACAGGTTGCGACCTGGGGCGAGGCGGGGTCTGTGGGGTTTGACCTACCAGTCGGGGGTGACCAAGAGAGGGGAGGATTAAGTGACCTAACACTACTGACTGGTGCGACTCGCAGGGAATGAGGGAATGGATCCAATAGAATCTCTATTGGGGGCGAAACTTCCCTTATTCCCTACTAAGCACCAGTCAGACTAGGACCTAACTGGCGTACCCAACTGGGATAGTCTATATATATATATAGGGTTCTTCGGACCTAACTGGCATACCCAACTGGGATAGTCGATATATAGGGTTCTGAAGAACCTCTGGGAATTCACGCACCACAACCTGTGACCAAAAGGAAGGTCTTCAAATACGCCCCTCCGGCGTGAGACCGAACCACCGACGCAGTCATCGACCAGGAGGCCAACCCACGCATCCACCCCATTGGGCGAGCTTTCGGGGGGGTCACCATGTCAGTCAACGCCACGTAAACGCCTTGAACCCGAAAACCTCGGCGTAAACCGACGTGATTTGACCGGAAACAAAAAAAGCATCATCACTTAGCATCATCATCAAACGCATCAAAACCCAGAGAAGACCCACTTATTCGATCGGAGAATCGGAAGTGTCGGACCGCAAGCGACCATTGGCGACATCTGGCGACCAATTTTTGGACACCCTCGATACTGGGATGAAACATGATGAAACTCCATTCTGAACTCTAGCCCTCAGGTACCAGCGATGAGCCTCTTCCACGCCTGAGTAATGCACAAACCATGGTTCTTTCCAATGCGCCGACGCTTCTTCCCAGCGATGGCTGCCGAGTGGCCGCCAGCAGCATGGCCACAATGACCATGCAAAGAATTCGACGCACGCTCATCTGGTTGCGCTGCGTGACACGTAGCTCTCGTGCTGCGCCATCTGCAGATGGGCAGATGGCACGGCACATGCTGAACGTCACCGCACTCAACGGCACTGCCGTTGTGTTAATCGTTCAAACACACAGCAGAACCAACAAAGGTTGAAGGACCCTATAGGCCCTATAGACTAATGATGACTAAATGCCATAGGTACCCCAGGTTACAGATCCTATTTGCAGTCACTAGTCCACCTCTCTTCTAGTCTAGTCCACCTCCACGAACAGGCTGGTTTCTTTACGGGTCTGTGCTTGGTTCGTTCGGCATCAAACACCAGCGGGTCGGTCGAACCAAACACCAGCAGTGGCACAACGTTGTTTGGTTCTGCCTTCGGGGGCACCAACAGAGTTCTCGAACTCCTGCGTCGCTGCGTGGACCATTCCTGGTCCCTCTCTGGTAGACTGGAGACAAGGCATTCGGCCCCTGGTCCCTCACTGGTAGACTGCTTCGGCCAGCATGTTCACTGCGAGACACTGGTAGACAAGGTCGGTCGGCACCGTCACAGGTCTCGCGTTGGGTCCCACACCTGTGCTCGCACTCGCTTGCTCCATGCCCCTTTCAATGTTGTCGAGCACCTCCCCCTGCGCCTCGGACCAGCGGTCGCAGCGCGGAGCTCAAAGAGATGGAGATAACTACAACAGCAACTGGAGAACTGAGTGTGAGCCTGGCCTCAAGCAGCTCTCTATAATAATAGCGGTCACTCAAGGCGATGCATAAGGTATTTGATCAAACATCGATCTAAGAAATTGCAAACTCCACTGCACCGGCGGCAGTGATATACATCATCGCTATGCTTGCAGCAAGTGGGGTCAAACCAAACCACCCAAAGTCCAGCGGTGGGTCATGTCTGCCAGGGAACTACCCTCAGTGCGCATGAACAATGGATGAATTGAACGCTGAGGTGTCCGTCTTCACTCATCTGCCCTTAGAGGTGGCTCTATTTGCAATCCACTCGCATTCAAACCATTCAAAAGCAAAGCCCCCAAAAACCCTGGTTTTGGCAGATCAGAAAGGAATTCATGACGTATAACACTGTCGTCTTCCTGTCATCTTCGCCGGTCTGAACGTCGTCTTCGGCAGTGCGTCCGCGTGCACGTCAAGCGCCCGGGTCCCAACCCGTTCCGCGGTCCCGATCCGCCTGCGTCATGAGCGCCAGGTCCAGCAAGGCGCGCTGCATGTCCTTCATGTTCTGCGACACGGCGGCGACGTCCTGTACATACCTCGGGTCGGACCCCAAACCGCCCTCCAGCTACACAGACACTCCATGTCTGTCGTATATGCTTACATTGACCCCCCTCCCCCTGGGCACCACCACCCCTGGTCGTTTTCTCGGCAGTGGACTGGCAGTCCCAAACAGGTCGTGTCTGGGTTCTACGGCGCTGGCTCACCGATCGGTCGGGACCCTCCAAGACCGGTCGGCACCAGGTGTCTACAGGGTGGATGGCGATGCTGTTGGTTCACACTTCTTCCACCAACCATGCAGGGAATTGATTCGATCTGCTGATCAACTCCTCACACCTTGGGGATTTGGGGATTTTGCATTGAATCTTTCGTCCACTGACTGGGCCCCTGGGCAGAGCCATCATCCCCAAAAATCCAGATGTTTGTCGGTGAATCACTGACTGGGCGGATTTTGGAGGAAGAACCCTCTGCGAAAACTGCGATGCGAAGAGTTCGAAGACAACCAAGCAACTCGTCGACCATGGCAGCATGCAAATCAACCTCGCCGGCAGAAACCTCCTCAATCTGCCTCCGCACGGACCGTGGCAGGTGTGGCCATTCGGCATCGGACCTCGAGCGAAGAGAATCCTCGGCACCGAGCGCCTGAACCTTTTGGACGAACAGAACTGGCAGCCCATTCTCGTGTTGAGGTGTTCATTGGTGCACGAGTTGACCCACTGCCACATGAATCTGATTGAGATCATTTAACCTTCCTTTACAGTACCTGGGCAAAATGCGGTCTCCCTGCAATCCAGGGCCAATTGTCCGATGGAAGCAGCATCATCATAGCTCCAAGGATGTCCAAACATGTCCAAACTAATTCCTTTCATATTAACTGCTAGTATCGTTTCCCTTCAAAAAAGAATCCTGTGCCATCCCACCAAACCAAACAGTGGAACGAACTCCGCCTCTGCGTCTGCGTCTGAGCCTCCTCCGGGTGCGAAGCTGCAGCATTCTCCGCAAGGTCGGAGGAGGCCTCGGTCGGAGTTCTAAGAATCGATTCAGATCCCTTTAGATCCCTTAGGCCCGGAGCGTGTGTGAGGGCTGGTAGAAGGATGTTGAAGGTAGATTCCCGTTACACCAGGTGGTCAAGGTGGATGGCACCACCACTGGGGACTGGTCCTGAACATGGTCATCTGAATTCAGGGGGCCATTGATCATCCAGATTTGCATGTTTCTTTGTAAACAAAAAGTGATGCAAGAAAAGATGCAAGTATGTGTTTCACACAACATCTCCCTGATTCACGCCAAAAACCACACCGTTGCCACACGAGTGGACGGATGCAAGGATGTCCTTGGGACCCATCGACATCCGTCCACTCGACGTCGACGTCGGCGGGCCATCTAAGGACCTCACAGCGGCCGCGGCACTGCGCTTCGCTTCCTGTGACCAGGACACCGACGGGGCGGCCGGCCGGATCCAAGCCGCTGCCGGGGCTGAAGAAAACGGTGGAGGACACCGTCCTGGACCTTCTTTCGGGGTATGGCTGGAGGTCCCTGATTGTGGTGGGCTGGGGCTTTGGTCACCCCTTTGGTTTTTGGTGTGGTGCTGGGTTAGAGCAACCCTCTGGACCAGATGTTTATAAGTATCTACCAGGACCCTCCAACAGGTCACCACTTGCGACTTTTAAGTCTACAAAAGCCTCCATTTCGGAGACCTGTTGGAGGGTGCTGGTACCCATTGGTCCGTCCTCGCTAAAGAAAGACAGAAAGACTGGTGATTGGGTATGCCCTTAGACACTCTACTTACTGGGACGATTCCACTTCACAAGTAGCTTGCAAACGGAATCCTCACCGTCATTGCGTCACCTGATCCCATGTCATTTCAACACAGGTTTCCCTTTTTTGCCACCCCAATGACCTCCAAACATGTCATGCGCCGGTGACAAACTGTGCACTACTCCTCCCCAGAGGATGAAACCCAAACCATTCGGCTGTGCAAAAAGCCGCGAGCGCCCCGCCCGCCTTGGACTTGAGCCATTGACTCCAAGCATCGCTCAGGTCTTTCGAGAGCTTCTGCAAGTTCTCGCGGAGCTTCCTTGGAAGAGTGAATCACCGAGCCTCGCTGGAACCATCATGGCATCAACGTGGATCGCATGGGTCACCCGAATGACCAAAAAAGACAACTCTACAATAAACAGGATGGTTTTCCACTTCCATCTTGTAGGGAGTCTATGAGTCTATATCAGTATATCTGACTTTTGTGGAGACCTCTGGGCACACGACCCTGACATCCGAATACCACCGAGAAGCGGAATCCCCGTCTGTGATGTCTCACACCGCGATCTCCGATCTCGCGACCCTGTCAGCTTTCTTTCGATCTGGGTGACCCCCAAAGGGGCCCCTGGCTGACAAAGAGAGAGTGACTGGTCTAGGCCTTCCTGAAAATAGGGGGCCCCAAGCTCTCATCATCTCATTCCCACGGGGGCCAGTGGATGATGGTCAGCTCCCAGACCCCAGGGCCTTGATCCGTTTCTGCCCACCAACTCTTACAGGTTATGGTTCCATACGCCCCAATCGATCTGCGACAGGCGATGTGTCCCATGATCTATATACAGGTGAACCCGTTTTTGCCCACCGGTTTCCGAAGAAATTCTTCACATCCCTGCTTGGGGATGTGCTCCCATGTTTTCCCATGTTTTCCCATGTTCCAAGCGTCTGCTCTTTCACCCGGTGCAGCTGCTGCGCAGGGAGATCATTCTTCACCACACTCTGCGCCATCACCTCCACAAACACTTCAACTCATGACTCATTGGATCTGGGTACTGTGAAGTATCTTGAAGCATCTGCAAGCCTGAAAATCCACCATTCTTTAGATCGTCTAAAGTGGAGACGTTCTGGCTCAACAGGGGCTGGGAACCATGGTTGTGCTTGCCAGGTTTTTGCTCTCGAAGATGTCTGCGAAGATGGTCCTCTGAACAGGGCTGGACTTTTCTGAGATCTGCAAATGGTGTGTCTGTATCTGCCACTTTTCTTGTGGTGTCTGCCTCCTTTCGGGGAACCGCAAAGCTTGAAGCACCGCAATCTTGGTGGTTCTTGCTCAAAAAGTGCATCATCAGGTGATGAAAACAATGCTCTTGCAGCGATAAGTTTTGTAGAGTTGATCTTGCAGCCATTGTCTGCGCAAAGAATACGGGAATCATCCTCGGACTAAGGGAAAAGGCCGTGTGTAAGTGTGAGGCAAATGATCTTCACTCCGTCAGGATGTGGAGACTCATCTGCAGAGTTGAGGTGAATTTCGCTCATATGGTGGGTTCAAGTCCTGACAGAAACATAGACTCGGAATGTCTCCCCACCTTTGGTCGCTTTTAGGCCCACACTGCTTGAAGAGCGGAATCTATCATGGAATTACCAGCAGTCACAAGACGGGGTGCCTAACTTGGAGGATGGTGCCCAGCTACTCCACAGCCCCTGGATGGGACTAAAAACCACCCAACTCCATGTGACTCCTGGTATATGCAATTTCATCGGTCCGGTCTGATCCACCTGGTTTTTGAAAATCCTTCAGTCGTGGTTGTTGTATGACCACGTCCACCCATACCCAGACGCGACCCGTCTGGGACTGCCAGTCCGGACTGCCTTCAAAACGGCCAGGGCTGGTGGTCTGGGGGGTCTGGCTGGGGCGGCAGTCCTATTCCAGTCCCATGGAGTGTATGAGCTCATCCGTTGCTTCTCGTTCTGACCTGATTCGGTTTCTGACAGGATCGAGCCGCACACGGTGCGTTCTTTTCCGTGGCGGTCGCTCCCGGCGCTTTCGGGCTCCCAGGTCTTGAAGGTCCGTCCGACAAGACCGGACCGGATGGATCGAACCTGGTCCTCGAGCGCCTCTGTTTTCCACCCCGCGCACCGCGCAGCGCGCAGCGCGCCTGCAGCATTTGTGTCGCCTCTGCCAAGGCTCGTTGAGCCTTGGCATGGCTGGCCTGGCCAAGCTCTGCCACTGCGACAGGCAGGTGCCAGCCTACGCCTCTTGGAGTTGGGTTTGTACTGGTTTCAGTGGTCAGCCTCCTCAGCTTGGAAACCCCCTTTCTTTTGTCCCTGAAAATGCCGGGAAATTTGTTGGAAAGGAAGGCCTATCACTTGTACGAACTGACACAAACAGAATCATCAATCGAATCATACCTAACCCCCAACCATTTCAAGAAAAGGACTTGCAAAAGGCTCTGCTGGAAACATACCTGTGCCGCACATGCCTGTCCTCCACAATTTAGCCCCACTTGGATCTATAAGTGCCCTTTCCAAAAGTCCAAGACGGAAAGCTCTAAGACGCCCCCGAAAGCTTTGCAAAAACCATCAATCATGCCCTGACCAAAAATGCCCTGAAAGCTCAAGAGGGCCGCATTCTCTGAGACTTACGAAGCTTTCGACGGGTCCTTTGCTCCCTTGGCGTTGGTTTCCACCCCGGCCGGCTGATGACCGCCTCAGCCTCACGGGCAGCGGCCTCGATCTCAAAGCCCGGCGTCAAAGCCTGGGATGCTCGTCCCGATCACGGCGGCGTGACACGCGGCCGGGTGGGGGCCCAGTGGGACAAACATCCGCAGTGGAAGAGGTCAAGCATGGAACATCCGCCACTATCATCAGTTGTTGCAAACGGTGATGTGATTTGAAAGTATATTGGGATAGTGATGTCTGTTGCCCTCTTTCATTTTGGTAACTTGTATGTTCCTAGAAAAAGAGGAATCTACTGCTTGTATGTACTTGAGGATGAACTTCCACGAATCCCTTCCCAAGGATGGAACAGGAAATTGGTCGTTTCTGCCCGCACCTTATGGTGGAGTGAGCCCGGCCTTTTCTTGGAGCCACCGGTGAAAAAGACGTATGACTGGGTATGTATGACCGGGTCTTGTTCTAATGATCAAGGGTGTTGCGTATGCCATGAGCAAGATAGATTGTGTCATGTGAGTGTGTATTTGAATAGATAAAGCCCTTGGCCCTTCCTGCTTGACTGGTCTATTTCCTTTCTTTGAGAGGGTCGGAACGCCTGGGAGGTCTCCCTGTCTTGATACACACCCACCTCCATGCTCGCCAGCTTCGCCGCACGTTGATGCTCAAACAACACCACGGCTTGGCCCGGCGTAAGGTCTTCTCCAAGCCCGGCAGCCAAGCGCTTCAGCGCCGTGCTCTCCTTCACCGCTGTCTTCAATGCAGCTTCCACTGCCTCCATCGCTGCGGACCGCATCGGTCCACCCCGCGGTCGAAGCGGTCGAAACCCGCCGGTCGTTCCAGGCGGACCCGGTCGACCGGGTCCGGTGGAAACACCGGTCGACAGGAGTACATACTGAGTACTGTACTGTACTGTTGGTGTCTTGTCACCCCACATAACCTCAGTTTCCATTGAGGTCCGGTGTTCGACCTGCTAGAGAGGGTTGATGAAAGCCCCTTTTGGTTGGGTGAAAAACACCGAAAAATCCACCGCACCAGTCGCATGAAGAGAGCTCGAAAACCGCATCAGGTGGGGGGTTGAGCTCGAAAACCGCATGGGCACCCGTGTGACCGTCAGATGCATAGTGAATGAAGAATTTGAGAGGGAAGATCAATGAAAACTCACTGCAACTATAGTCACTATATAGTCACAAAACCACAAACCTCTTCATCTCAATTTGCAGAAATGATAGATTCACCAAGTCCAAAACCTTCCAAAATTGGTGTCCACGTTCTCACTGGTCAAGTATGCTTATCGCTTGTTGGCTGCAAGCTCAGTCGGCTTGTTGGGGCCACGAACTCCGTATGCTTACCCACAACCCTGAGGGCTTGAGGATCAAAGGGGGCCCTGGAGTGGAGGATCAGGAGGCGAGCTTGTGACCTCCCAAGAGAGGGAGGATTAAGTGACCTAACACTAGGACCTTACTGGGGTACCCAACTGGGATAGTCTATAGGGTTCTGAAGAACCTCTGTTGGTCAGGTCCTTGAGGCTTCGCCCTTTTGGATGGCTGGTCAGGCTCCCCTGCCTCTTCGGGCTTGGCCATGACGAAGATCCGCACGGAAGACCGGTGAGACCCGATGAAACCGTTGGTTCGGTGGCGTTGGAATTGAAAAGACAAGTTGGATTGGATGATATGATATTGGATGATATATGATGTCTATAGTGATGTCTATGAGGACCTGTCTAAAGATTGTTATCTCTCTCACGATCTGTCAAGTATAAAAAGCAACTGATCTACGTGAAAATCACGCTGTGAACGATGAAGCTGATCACGCTTGACCGATCTGTCTCTGTGCTCGTTGGTGGGTTTTTGCATCTGCGGATGCCGCAGTTGCCTTGAGCCTTCCAGCATGGAACCGATGGTTTCTTCCGTCCAAACTCCCTGGTTTCGCATCATTTAAAGGTGGAACCTCCGTGTCTTCGGGGCCATCCACGGCCGTTGGCCCATGATGCCAGGGAGTCGAGGGCACTGTCCACACCGATGAGATGACTATCAAGCACACCTCTGTCAGGAAGCCCAGCTTCTCTAAAAGAACGACATGTTCAACATCAACTTCTGCCCCCCAAAACAGAACATTCACCATGGTCACCTTCTTGCCCCCCAACAACACTTATATATATAGTATATAGTGTTTGGTCCATCCTGGAAGGAGCTACGCCTTGCTTTTGGGGAAAGATTTGGACAGCTGATATTCTATCATGCTCATTCATACACAAAGTGTAATTGCCCTCCCTGTTAGGTGCATTTCACTTGACGTCTCATCAGACAAAAGGCCCGCATCGTTGTCATCCACTGGGGCCACCAGCCGCCACCTCTTCTGGATCAAACGCCAACTGGGCAGCCAGTTGGCGGTGCGGTTGCGGTGTGGACCCCCACGGTGCATTCGTTGCGGCCCGGCCCGGCCTGAGGCCCAACACCCCCGAAGTGTCGAGTCTCAAGAGTAGGGCGTGTTTCTTTGAACGCAACTCTATTCCGCAAAACGCTGCTCTTGCGTCTCCCATCGGCCCGCAAGCAAAAGCTGCTGAGAGCTCATTCAAAGAGAAACTCGGAGATCATGGCATCATTGCAGGTCCAACAGTTCCACACGCTGACGTTTTGAGAGAGATTCCTTCACCGGCTAGCTAGCTAAAGGCCACGTCTTGGAGACCTGTTGTACCGGTCGATCTGACATGTCTCTGTCCTCGTGACTCGAGAGTGCTTTCCCCATCTCATTCCCCATCTCATCGTGCGCCTCGAAGGGGATGTAGATCACATCCCAGGAGATCAAGAAGAGACCCAGAAAGTCCCAAACTCAGCGCGGTTTCAGCGCCCAAACTCAGCGCACGTCGCTCACCACGTCGCACGACCACAAGACCGGACCGCCCAGGGGGGTGCTGACTTGGTGGGCCAACCCCCACCGATCTCAGGAGGAAAACCCATCGAGGCTGACCCGAGGCTGACCGCCTGGCCGATCGATCTAGCGTGGCTGGCGCGAATCCCGGACAACCATGGTTCTAAGATGTTCTAAGGAATGGAAAACACTACGACAACAGGTCAACCATGGTCAACCTTTCGTTTACAGGTCGACCGGAAGGCCGGACGGCCGATGCTTGATCCATGTGTGGATTCAGAGCACCCAATTTAGGGCAATGGGGCAAATGGGTCGTGGTGGTCTGGAGCAGTCCACCAAACGGCAGTGCGTCCCAGTTACCACTATAAGGAACCAGGGATTCTAGGTAGCTATGGTTTTAGTCGAACTGGAACCACTGGGACTCCCAGCGACATCGTGGTTTGCCTGGATGTTGTGGGAACAGCAGCGTGGCAAACACATGACAGGTCTCCACCAGGTAGGGAAAACCAATACCCGTTGGTCTCCTGGTGCCATGACCCACAGGTGCCCCATCTCAGGTGCCGGCCCAGTCTCACTGTGTTGTTGGGATTCATCGGAAGCCTGGACAAGGTGGCGTTTCGTTTTGAGGGCATTCTGGACAGCCTGGACAAGGTGGAAACCAAGGGCATCCAAGGACATCCAAGGTACCCGGTGCCGGGTATCAAGCATCGGACGGGAGGAAAAGAAGTGTAAGATGCGCCATCGGGTGCGGGTTGCGCGCTGCTATTTTTGAGCGGAGCAGGTCTTCGAGAATAGCAGCACACCACTCACTCAATCTACCCCAATAGAAACTCCCACCAAAGAGAAACACCGGAATAATCCTGCAACTTCGAGCATAGAGCGATCAGAAGAACACTGCAAATGTGTTACCGGCGTCCAACTCCATATCAAGAAAGCCTTTTGTTCTCTTTCCGGCAAAGCTGAAACGGGCCATTCGTAGCTTTGACCGGCTTTGACTGACCCTTACACTTCACCGCCCCGCTGCATGGCCTCCGCTTCCTCTTCCCCCGCCGCCCCCGCCGCTGACCCGTCCCCGGCCGAATCTTCCGCACGGCGCCCATCAGCTGCTCGAAGAAGCTCAACTGCAGCGGCGGAGGATTGGTGGACCTTCTGTGAGGCCGCCTGACTCAGATTAAGGGATGATTTTGTATGATATGCATATCAGTCCCCTGCTCAAGAGCTGAGCTGTGGCTTGGACAGATGGAAGCCAGTCGCGCTATAACGCTATAAGACGGGCCCAGGGCCCGAGTCGCTGACTCTCGGGGGTCATGGCACCGGGTCTGACCCTGCGTGTTTTCTTCCCTTCCCACGAACCGGCTTGGCTGACCCGACCATGGTCAGACGGTCTACTCGTGTCAACGCACAGCCCGCCATTCAACCCACAGACCATTGCTCACAGACCGGACTCGACTCGTGGGCGACTCTTAGGGATCTTGTCATCTCAAAAACCGTCAGTTTAATTGTGGATCTTGTTTAATTGTCCACCTCCACAATCAAGATTGTCCACCGCGGCTCTTAGGGATCTTGGTTTAATTGTCCACCTCCAAAAGGCAAAGCTCTAAATGTCCACCTCCGCAGCATCCTGCGCTGTGTCCGCAAAATGCGAGGATGGAGCGTCAGGTCTTGCAAGGTCTCTCGGTTTCGTCATCGTGGATGGTGCTTCCACATCTCTAGCTGGCCAAGCGGGCCAAGCGTTGAATTTGGGTGGAAAGGAGCAAGTTCCCTTTTGGCGGGTGGCTCTTCGTTGAGCACTTCGAATCCTACGGATGCACCCAGAAATCGGCTTTCGTCGCTTTCGTCACCTGTCCGTCGACCACTGCTCTACCGGACCTGTTTCGGACGGTTTCACCGGCCTGGAGACCAAAGACGCTGTGGTCCGCGATGCCCATCTGCAGCTCCAACTCATCTGGGTCGTCCGCTGCCGTTGCCGGCGCCCGTTCCGAAGGCGGAGAAAAGCGAAGCAGTCCGGAAGCTACATGTAGTATCAAGTGGAACATAATTCCACATGCCAGTGGGGAAAAAAGGAACTACGGTTCCGAAAAAAAAAAAAAAAAAAAAAAAAAACATCACCCGATCCGCATCGATCATCAAAAGCAGGAAGACCCTGCCTTAGTACAACAATGCCTTCTTCGGCATTCAGGCTATAAAACATCAATGGTGGGCCATGAATCTTAGGGCTCAGGAAGACCCAAACGTGATGAAGGTCGTTGCCCGTTGGAAAGCGCCAATTGAAACGAGCACGGTGACATCTAGTCAAACATGTTGGTTCCCCTTTCAACTGGAGGCCCAAATACACAACTAACAGCCTGAGAAGACTGGTCTTGTAGAGGAAAATGCTCTTCCATGCTCATCCCATGGTGTATTTTCAGGTTCCATGTCAATCACGCAAATCGCTAGCCGGACTAGTAACCGGGTTCCCATGGACCAAGAACATCACCGGCTTTGGATCCATCCTCCGTCGTTTCACCGAGTTCCCTCTATCGATCACCTCCGTCGGCCCGGATTCGGCATCCCCTTCCGCGGTCGGACGTTGTCCTCGACGTCCTAAAAACCGGGCGTCCCCCACCGCTGCCATGGGGATTGAAGATGTGGTTCAATCGCATATCCGTATGGCCTGAGAGCAAGCGAGATATGCTGCGGAGCTTCTCCTCATGATGATTTGATACGAACGAAGCCTTCATCGAGCTGGCCACTGCTCTTGTCTTTCACCTATAGTAGGAAGGGGAAGTGGACAAACAACAGCAGTGGACAGGGCACATAACACTCAAACGGAAGTTAATCTGCTTATATAATCCTGCCTCTAATATCTTATAACACGGTATAGTACCAGGTGTTTGCCTTGTTGCTACGTTGTGATCCACAGGCCTGTGAGCGACGGCGGCAATGGCCAAAAGCATCACATAAAGCACTAAAAAGGACGTGGTTCTGGATAGGTTTAGGGTTCATGAGGGTTCATGCCCCCATTGTCCCTTCTCTAGGCCAACGCATTGGTCATTGGAATCAGCCCTACCTCTGATTCTGGGTTCCCTGAGATTTAAAATCGCCTCCAACATCCTCCAACCTGAAAGTGGGGGGGTGAACTACCCCCCACCCCCGGATACTCACAAATCACCTCGACAGTTCACCCCTAGCAAGAGATCACCTACCAAAAAAGTAGGTCCACACACCCTCCTTGCCAAGCTTCGCCATTGGTGCGCCAAGCGGAAGACGGTGGAGGACGGCGACACGGGGGAATCGGCCTGAGACCATGCCGTTCGCAAGACGGTCAAGCCACCTGGACCGCGTTGGAAATTGCGTAGACTCGGACATGTAGACTGTCAATACGGCAGGACCCTCCATGTATGGAATATACCCAGACACTCCATGGGACTGCCATATATGCCTACATTGGGGTGGTTTCAGAGGTCAATGTAGGTAAATATGCCATACATGGAGTGTATGGAATATATGCCGCCCCAGGTCAACCACTCGAACTGTCCGTTCAAGTCCAGGCTCTTCACCGCGTCACGCTATGACCGTCGACATGACCGAGTGTCAAACCTCCCGGCCCGACGTGGGTTCTAGTGCATGAACTTCCAAAAGTGGTCCCCAAATCGATCGTGGCACAGTGTCCAAGGTGTTGAAAGGTATGTTACTGTTCCTATCTCTTTTGGGGTTTTTAAGATTTTTAAGAAACATGAACTCCACTCCCAGTTCCCATCAGATCCCCTGGCTGAAGTGGACATCGTTGGCTCCA